ACAATTCCCTAAATGACTTCAGGATTGTCACATATACCAGATGATGTGGCTACTTTCCACTACAAAAAGAGTCTGTGTTTTGTTCTTTGGTCCCCTTGAAGGAGCATGAATTTATAATCAGTAATTTCTGAGTAAATCAGCATGGTGTAGGGGAGAAAGTGCTAGGTATGAAGACCAGAAGGAGGCCTGGGATTAAAAAATCCTGCTCTGAGGCTTGCTGGAAGTGTAAACCTGGGAGTCACTTAACCTCTTCGTGCCTCAGGCAATGCTCTATGACCTATCCACTAAAGCTGGGAGTTCGGCTTGGCTGTGAGACTTCCCCATGATAATGAATGAAATCCTAGTTACTTCACTTATTGCTTAGAAATCACATACATACATACATGTATGTGTAACATATACATACACATAAATGTAAAATATGCAAACACACAACCAGCCATACATACACATACATATTATATCTTTAATAATTAATTTTAAATAATAAATCAATAATTAATTTAAAAATTTAATAATTAAGTGAAAGTTCACTAGGCAACCAAAGTGTAACAAAAATATATATGCATGGTTATATACATTTACATATATGTACACAATAAGTAGGTATATGCATGCATGTGTATATTCATCCATCCATCCATTTACACACACACACACACAACACACACACACACACACACACACACGGGGTGGGGTGGGGGGGTTGCTTCATGGGACCTGCCCAATGTCAGACACCCAGGATATATCAAAGGTGGTAATAGATACCAGTCTTCCTGACTCCCAGACCAAAACACACCCACACCCACACATATATATACTTACATTTATTATAACATACAATTTATAATACACGCATTATATATAGTCAGGAAGACCTGAGTTCAAATCCAGCCTCAGACACTTAGCTGTATGACTCTGGGAAAGTCATTTAACTTATCTGCCTCAGTTTCCTCAATTATAAAATGGAGATAATAATAATATCACCTAACTGTTGTCAGGAGCAAATGAGACAATATTGTAAAGTGCTGAGCACAGTGCCTGACACATAGAAACTGACAATACAAGACAGCTCAAGCCCTTCAAGAAGAGATATGGATACAAACAATGGAATTTATAATTATAGACTTAGACCTAGGAGGGACTTTAGAGATCTAGTTTAGATGGGGTAGCTAGGTGGTACAGACTCATCTTCCTGAGTTCAAAATCCAGCCTTAGATACTTACCAGCTCTGTGACCCTGGGTAAATCACTTAACCTTGTTTGCCTCAATTTTTCCATCTGTCAAAAGAGTTGGAGAAGAAAATGGCAAACCATTCCAGTGTCTCTGTCAAGAAAACCCTAAATAGGGTCATGAAGAGTTGGACATGACTGAACAACAACAGCTCAGACCAGGGACCACTCAGGAATGTAGCCCTAACCAAATTAAAATATAATGGGAAAATAATTAACAAAATGAATTTTTAAATCCAATAAAATATATGACATTCCATTTTTAAAAACTATTTTAAACATCCTCTTTTTTAAAAATCTGAGTTCCAAATTCTCTCCTTCCCTCCAACCTGTCCAACCTTCCCATCCAATGAGCATTGATATCCATTATACAAAAATCATTACATTTTAAAGCCAATATGCTGCCTACGGGGATCCTTAAGTATAGATTAATGCTCCCCCTCCCCCCTTCTATTTGAGTTGGCTATCAATGTTCTAGTTTAACTTAACCTGCTTCTTTTGGATGACTGTAAGGGTCACATAAGTAGCTAGCAACAAAGCTGGACTAAAACTTGGCTTCCCTGATTCCAAAACCAGCACACTTTTCAATGGACCATATTTATAATTTACATATTTCTACTCTAGTACCCAGTATTCTTTCATTCAATGGCTGCTGTTACTTGTGGCTTTGTTAATTTCAAGTTTCCTTTAAGATAAAGTAGCTTCACAAGTGTTTATTCATTGTATCATCTCTCTAGGACTGGAAGTGATTCAAGATGGCCAACTAGTCCTATTCCATCATTTTACAGATGGGGAAAGTGAGGCCCAGAGAGGGGGAAGGTCATTGCCAAAAGTTACATAGGGAATAAATGGCAGGATTAAAACTCAGGTCCTTAAGCTACCTTCCCTTGACAAATGTGCCCAAATCACACAGACCTGTGTCTCTTCACATGCAAAAAGGACAGAAACACTGATGTCCCCGTGACCGAATTGGATTTTGTTTCAATGTCAAATATGTATTTGCAATGTTCATATTTTCTAAGAATATTCAACATTGAATATTTGAGAATATTCAAACTTTGAAAATAAGCAGCTTGGCATTATGGAAACTGATGGGCTCAGTTAGGAAGCTGTTCAGTCATTTCAGTCATATGCGACATCATGTGACCCCATGGGGGGGTTTCTTGGTAAAGATACTGGAATGGTTTGCTATTTCCTTCTCCAGCTCATTTGACAGATGAGAAAACTGAGGCAAACAAGTTGAAGTGACTTGCTCAGGGTCACACAGCTAGTATCTAAGGCCACATTTGAACTCAGAAAAGATGAGTCTTTCTGACTTTAGGTCCAACACTATTTACTGCCCCACTTAGTAGCCAGAAAGTCCTAGATTAAAATCCTGTTGTGGACAGTTGTTCTGGGATAAAGGGCATGCCACTGAATCAGAGTTTCATGCAATTTCTTTGACTTATCTACTAAGAACAGACTTATCTATAATGTTTAGATAGAAAGAGTGGCAGCACTAAGAAAATCATAAGCCCTTTCTGCTGATAATAGTCATCATTCTAGTGCACTTCCTGAATTATTGGGTGTTCATCCCTACCATGATGGTCCCTGTAAGCCAGGGCAAATGAATGACTGAATTCAAGAAATACTGTACTCTAAGCTTCCACATGCTTGGCAAGAATGCTAATAAAGCTTTGGGTCTAAAGCACTCAGCAGCATTCTCCCAAGGAAATGGAGAATTTAAACAAGGAAGCCTTCTAGTTGCTTTCACCATCCTAGCTCAGTCTTCTGTGCTGGCCTTCCACCTCAAATAAATAGCTAGCAAACAACCTTTCACGCTTTTTTTTCCCTTTGAATGACACTGCTAGAAGGCATCCTTTCACACTTGATTTGTGGTTAAATAATTTTTTACTCAGGCTTATGCAGAATTCAGGACCAAACTTTTTATGTATTTATGTCACCCCAATTTTTTAGAATAGTTATATTGTTCAGGCTTCTTGTTGGTTTCGGAAAAGCCAAGATCCTAAAGGAAAAGAAAGAAAAAGAAAAAAAATCTCTGAGAATCACAAGTCAGCATGGAGAAAAAACCCCCCAAAAAACCCAATACCTGAATCACAGAATAGGAGAGTTGTCTGGGACCTTAGAGGGCACAGACTCTAAACCCTCCTCTTTTACATTTGTGGAAATAGAGGCCAAGAAAGGTAAAGTCACTATTTTAAGGTTATTGGTTAGCAACAGGGTGGTTCTGAGTGGAATCCTCTTTCCCCTTCACTGTGTTTCTTCCCCATTATCCCAAGTTTTCAAATATTATTTGCATCATTTTTCACGAAGCTATTGCATTGAAAAGAACTCACAGTACAGATTAGTTCTGCCCACTAGTATTTTAAAGTGTTATATGCTACCCCATTCTATTTTGGCAGGAAATAGAGGGCCTTTAATCCAGGTTTTAGGGAAGGCCAAAGAGAACTTCGTCCTGCAGAACAGCAGGAAGGGGAGAAAATTTTAGAGCTACCCTAAAAAGGATGGGTGGGGGAATTAACGTTTTAATTGTCTAATATTTAATGGGAAACAAGATACTGGTTTTACATTTAAATGTAGGGCCTTTGGACTGTTTGAACTAATACCAACCTTAATGCCAACAACAAAAATCAAGTCGGCTTTTGTTCCTCTTTCCTTCCCTTCCCCCCTTCCATTCCTTCAACCACACCCCCCCGGGTGGGATTGGGGAACCTGGTGAGCAGACAATTAGCGATAACCGGGTCAATCTGCCTTACTGAGTGACCTACATTTGCTTCAATACCACAAGAGCGGATGGGATTAATCAACGTGTACACACACACACACACACACTCACACTCTCTCTCTCTCTCTTTCTCTCCCTCCCTCCCCCCTCGCCCTCTGTCCTTATAAAGCTTGTATTCCTTTACACAGGCACTCCACCTCAGGTTCAATTAGGTGCCAAGCTCCTGGGGTTCAAGAGCCCGGGGCAAGTAGCTAGACCCTCTAGTTTACCCTTTCAGTCCCTTCCTTACTGCCCTTGGACAACTCACTGGGCAGCAAGGTCTTTACGCGCACTCCGTGGGCTGGTGCTTTAGAGGCGCCAGTGCTGGCCGATGGCCACCCTACCCACACCAACTCCGAGGCTGAGGGTCAAAAAGCGTTGGGGGTGACTGGGAGATTTAGGTAAAAGCGGAAGGTGGAGAGGAGGTCGTCGTGAAGGGGAGAGAGGAGACTCCCATCCGAGGAACACGTACTGGCCGGTCGCACACACTCGCCCCTCCAGCTGCCCAGCTGCCGCCCGCTCAGCCCCCGGGCTTGGGCCGGGGGCGGCCAGGCCAGCTGCCAGCGGCAGAGTCGCAAGAGGCGCGGACGAAGCGCACGTCCGGGCGCTCGTCCAGAGGGGCCGCAGCGGAGCTCTCCTCGAATCCAGCCCCGCTCCTCCTCCTCGCCCGACGGACGCCAGGGGAAGCTGCAGCAGTTCTGCCGGCTCGCTAGCTGGAGGAGGAGGAAGGGAAAAGGAGAAGGAGGAGGAGAAAGAAGCACGCCCGAGGCCCAGCCGGCGCGGGGGGCAGGGCGCGGCGCAGGAAGGGGCCGGCGGGCCCGGATCTCCACCACCCCCCGCGGGGACTCATTGGCCGGCAGGCAGTGGGCAGCGCGGTGAGTGGCGGCTGCGGCGGCGCCGGGAGGGAGGCGGGGGAAGGGGCGGTGGCCTCGGCGCTGGTTGGGAGACGGCGCGGGGGAGGGGAGAGCCAGGGGGCCGGGCTGGAGGCGGGGCCGGCGCGGGGCGACGGGGAGCTCCGGTGGAGAGCAGGCGCTGGCGGCTGCTGGAGCGGAGTTGGAGGAAGCTGGGGGCTGCGAGCAGGGCAGCGGGAGAGCGGCGGCCGCAGGAGAAGGAGGAGGGAGACACCGCCACGGAGAAGGGCAGCGAAGTGGCGGCTGCAGAGGCGGCGGGGCTACAGCCCGCGCATCCGTCCCGGGGGTGTCTGCGGGAGCGCGGAGGCCGCGCGAGCGGCGGAGCCAGGCTGCGGGGAAGGTAGGGGAGCCCGCGGGCTGGGCTCGGGGCGTGTGCGCGCGGCTCCCTCTCTCTTCCTGTCACCGCCGGCCGCTTCTCCTAGTTCCGGGCCGCGGCCGCGGCTGCGGGGTTAGCGGTGTCCGGGCCCCTGTCCCGCAGCCTGGCTGCTGCGACCTGGCCGGCGAGGCGCGCGTGCTGCCCCTTCGCTCACGGGACTGAGCTCCGCTTCCGTGCGCGCCGTCGGGGGTGCAAGGTCTTCTTTCGCCCCTTCCTCGGATCTCTCCGCGCCCCTGGGTACCTTTCCGGGGCAGGGGACGGGGGGCGGCTGCGGCTGCAACCCTTTCCCCAATTCTAGTAGGCTTGTTTCGGCTCCGGGTTCCCCCGTTCTTCTCTCGCAGGTTTTTCATGCGGGCTCGCGGCTGCTGCCTCTGGATCCAGGGGCGCTGGAGAGAGGAAGGCGCCCTCCCGGGGGAGCTGCCCCTCGCCCGGGGGGTGGAGGACTGGCAAGTGGTGGTCTAAGCAGCGACCCCCTCTGGAGTTTGACGCCCTCCTCTTCCGGGGTGTGGGGAAGTGGTGCGAGTCCGGGGAGCCCGAGCGGCGCCCCGGAGCCCCCGCAGGGCGTGCATTGTTTGGCCCTGGGCAGATTGGTGAATGCGCATTGAAAGACTGGGGTGGGAGTCTTTTCGGAGTCGCCCAGGCACCCAAACGTTTGTTACATGGTGCGAGACTGGAAGGCCTGCCGAGCAAGCAACATGGAGACGGGGTGGGGAAGAAAAGTGAGGATGTGCAAAAGGAACTGTAGCGTCTTTGGGAAGCGTCAGTCAGTTTCACCCAGAGCAGAAATAATTAATTGCAAATCTTTAAATAATTGCTCCACTTCCTCCACCTTCTCAAACCGCCCCCCCAAAAAAAACAATCCACCGCTTTAAAAAATATAATGCACTTTTGCAAGCAGCATTCAGGCATGACACAAGGGAATGAGTCGAATGGCCGTCACAGGGTCGAAAGCAGAACTGTGTGAAATAGATTAGGGCAAAATACTTTACTCTATCTGGGCTGTTGCTGTCTTGGAAAGATCTCCCGTCCACCGTTAGATCCTCTGGTGCACTTTGGAGCAGTGTTCTGAATGATTAATTTTTAGTTTGTTCATCTTTTCCGGGGTTTTAAAAATGTTAGGGATTTTTTTTCAGCTATAAATGCAAATGGATCAAGAGAGCCCTTAGATTTTGAATGAAGTATGAGGTTGTCATTTCAGCGTGGATTGCTGGGGCTTTTAGCTTTCAATGAGAACTATGCCTGGATAAGGACGAGTCTTGGATTTTGTGTGAAGTGGGAGAATGTTAATTCTTTGTGGATTGTTGAAGCTTTTTAGCTGTCATCCTGCAAACACAAAGGCTTGCCGACTTGCAATTTTCAGTAGAATATCTGTTTTAAGTCTTAAGGTGCATCATGTTTCAGAAAGCTTTTCGAAAACATTAGGAAAGAGAGTTCTGCATCTGTCAGAGGCAGGAGCTCGTTCTTAAGTTACAGTTAGTGCTTTCTTTTCCCTCACTTTTGAAAACTGGAAACTCGATTTCTATCAGTCAGCAAACATTTTATATGGTACCTACTATGTGTCAGTCACTGTCATTGACAGATCACGATGTTATTGGAAAAAGGATATTTGGAGTAAGTAGTTATGACATGCAGATAGTACTTCATTTTCATGTGATATTCCTAGAAATCTAAGTTGGCTAACTTGTAGAAGCAAGTATTTACTCATCAAAGAGCAAATATTATAAGCATAATTTTTTCCCCTAGAGGACCGTGATGGTATGGTACAGTGACCTCTTAATCTTGGATAATTAAGACTAGAGTTTAGGATCTAATTCAAAAGACAGACTGGAGCAAGCTGTCTTTTAAGAAGTGTTGAATAATTCCACTGCTGACTTCCTAGGAAGCTTTTATTTGCCAGACAGTGGTAGACTCCAGAGGGACACACTTTTTTCCATAGGGATTTGTTAATTCTTTCTCTTGACTAAATGGACTAAGAGACTGTGTGTGCTGCGGAGGATGGACTAATACTGGTTTTAAAAATGGCTACAGGTTTTTATTTTATTACCTTGACTTTGGGCCTGCTCTTGAGTTGCAAAATCGTAGTCTGTGCAGACAGACATCTGTTGTTTCCTATGTTGATATCATTGTATCTTTTCACATCTGGAGTAAGTGACAAAAGATTTAGTTGCTCACTGTTGGAATGGCTTGATTTTTTTTAAAGTGTTTTTTATTGTTTTGGGCCTAAACTGTGTTGGTGCAAGATATCTGAGAAGCATAAATTGTTGGTTTTAGGAAGCAGAAATAGTGTGTATTAAGTCACAGATAATGCATCTTGTGATTGCTGCTGGCAGGTTTTAGAAATATGTCCTTATCCAGAGAACATTTCTTTTAGTGTCTTTTTAGAGCAGGGGACCTTTTGGGAGAAGGAGGCACCAAAAAAGTGGGTTGTTCTCAGGTTTGTTTGTGGTGGGCTTACAGGTTGAGGCTTAACTTGTAATGCCCATGTGATTATCACAAGTCATTATTTTAAATATTTTTCCATTAAAAAAAAACTATGGCTGCTTATAGCCATTTCACATTAGTACGCTACTATTTTTTTTTCATGGGGTTAGTTTGTGAAATTTGTGGAGAGTCTAACAGATGAAATTGTACACAGGCAGGGTCAGTAAAACAAATCCATTATTAAGGTTTTTTTGGCTTGTAAAACGTATAATTTTAAATGAAGGAGGTACTGAGCAGATTATAGAAGTGTGGTTTGATGGAGATTAAAGTAGGTGAGCAGTGCCTGTGTTGTATTACTATTGATATTATTAAGATCATTATTAATAATCTCCACTGTTTGAGGTGTAGGAGGAAATGCCTGGGTGTTTGCTTGTATTCCTTGTTGTCCCATTTTCCCCAAATAATTTTTTGAGAATATACAAATTTGCCACTAATAGACAAAGAGAATAGAGGTAGTGATAATGAAATACTCAGTGATTTATCGAGTCATTGTCTCCCCCCTCCCCCTTCAGTCTGCATATAAGATAACAGGGAATTCTACAACCCCCTCCACCAAAACCAAAATTGTAATTCCAGTTTGATATTTGGGTCACTTGTCACAGTTTTTTTTTTAATTCCTCTTCCTACCTGCCATGCTCTTAGATACAGTTTTACAGTGTTTCCTACTTAAAAGGAAGGAAATTAGAGGCTGTTATCTACATTAAACCAAATAATATGAAGATAGCATTCTAAGAAATATGCTTCATTTTGTTTGACATGGGTTAGATTTTAAAGAAATATTGAATCAGTGAATTGTAGCTTTTCCTTTAAGAAAAAAAAACCACACACACCCCACTGCCAATATCTATCTCAAAGTGCCTTTTATCAGTTATATTCTGTAAGCATTATTTTGGTTAAAATGTATACTCATAGTTTTGACATAGTGAAAATGAGTTCCAATTAAAGATGACCCCCACAAGGAATATCTGTTGTCATTTTTTTTTTTTTGGTCACAGAGGTCATGGTTGAAAGTGAGTGGAAATTCCTTCAGTGAGAGTTGTAAATTAATAAAACTCAGGTGACTTGCCCCACCCTCTTTCTCTTTGCTTTCCTCCTTGGACTCAACTGATATAGTAGTGAAGTGATTGGCAGGAATCAGGGCTATGAGTAGGCAGCTGCCTTTGCTCCCAAGTTGAACAGTGGTTACATCTTTGAGTGCCTTTGGGTCACTGTGGTGACATCGTGACAGAGGGACAGATCCCCACGGGTATGGATCTAATACTTTGACCCCGGATTGTTTCTTTGACTTCACATGTTACCTTTTTCATCCCATTTCCCTCCCCTCCTCAAAATCGGGTTTAAGTGACTTGCCCAGGGTCACAGAGTATCAAGTGCTGAGGCCAGATTTGCACTCCAGGTCCTCCTGATTCCAGGGCTAATTCTGTGTTCACTAGGCCAATGCCCCTGCTTTTCTACTGCTATGGAGAGTGCTGCTAGGTGAGCCAAATCCCATATCATAGAAAGAAATTTTAAATTAAACCGTTGTTCTGGGATTCAGCAGGAAGAAAGGTGGTCGTCATATCTAGAGAAATTGAGGTGGGGGGCAAGTCTATGAACAGAAAATAAGGAAACAACTTCTGCTCTAATTAGGTGATAAGATCTAAAGTATTCTGTTTCTGTGATTATCCAGGGATTGCTATGTGGAAGAACTGAGTCCTTTTCTTGATGCTCTAAACATAGGCTCTTGGAGTCACAAATTGCAAAAGTGAGATCCCTTTCACCATTCCCAGGTTCTAACCATGTAACTCCTAATGGATACCTTATGATACCTAACATTTCCTACAATAATCTTTCCATTCTGAATCTTTTCTAGCATTGAGTGCTCTTATCAGGCTAGCTACTAAGTTAATTAGACATTTGTTAAGCCTGGGTACACAGATTAACATAATTACATATTATGTTGGTATGTTATTCACCAGTCATTTCACTCATATTAGTCTTATTTGGCCAGCTAAATTGTACCATTTCCTGAAGGTAGGGTTTGTTGTTTAGTTGATTAGTATCGTTTCTTGGCAAAGATAGTGCTGTAGTTTGCCATTTCCTTCTCTAGCTTATTTTACAGATGAGGAAACTGAGGCAGACAGTAACTAAGGCAAACAGTTAAGTGTCTTGCCCAGGGTCACACAGCTAGTAACTGTCTGAGGCTTGATTTGAACTCGGGTCTTCTTGATTCCAGGCCTGGCACTTTGCCTCACCTAGCTGCCCTAGGCTAGAATGTAGACTGTGTCAGAGACAAAATGTGTAATAAACCTGGGAAGAGGTGGGAGTCTGCTGCCAAATTGTGAAGGGCTTTCATTGCTAAACAGAGGAATTTATATTTTTTTAGAGGTAATCAGGTACCAGTAGAGCTAATTGAGCAGGAGAGCAGCATGGTCAGACCTACCATGCTTTGAAAAGTATTATTTTGGCAGCTATTTGGAGGATAGATTGGGGTGAGGAGAGAG